ATGTCCACACGTAGCCGGGTATTTTTAACACCAAATATTTCCCCCCCAGCGTTTATAATACAATTTGCATCCACACATAACCAAACATCTGCATTTTCAGTCCTCTGACGTCCTGCGTTGGGGGAAAAACACAGAAGTGGGCGGAGCTTTGATACTGACGCCGGTGCTTCTGTAGTGGCACTTTTACAGTCATAGAAGAAAGTCAGGTACATATGTTTACAAGCACAGACCCCCGTCCTCAGCCCTGGTTTAATCCTGGTTTTGCTCCTGTTTTGGTTGTTTTCGAGCTTGAGTCCCCGTGATCACTTTGCTGCTCTCTGATGTGGAGGATGTTCGCTGCTGCGAACCGCTCGCAGCAGTGGACAGTTTTTAAGGCAGTAAGATCCATGCTTCCTCAGTGATCAGAGGTCGCACGTGTTGTTTGTTGTTTTGGGGGCATACTGTGACGTCCGAAAACGCAAAACTCTGGTTATCTCTGTCTACACGCTAATGCATAAACACAGTTTTCAAAAATTTCCACTTTGCCTGGAGGTTTTTTATATATTAGTTTATGATGCTTTGTCGTGTGGATGACAGGTGCAAGCGAAGAAAAATATCTGCGGTTTAGCAGATACCCGGTTACGTGTGGACGGGGCCTAAGTACCACTTGCTGTCCTCGTCTGGTCTGTTCGTTTAAAGGATACTTTCATTGGACGGACCTGTCTTGGTAGGTTTGCATAAATCTTATACTCTTTCCATTCCTGGATGAGGGATTGAACAGTTCTCCATGAAATGTGCAAAGCTTGGAACGTCTTTGTATGTTTGCTAAATCTGTGCCCATTATAATATGCTATTCTAATCTGATGGGTTCCTTTTGCTTCATGATGCAGCTTAGTGACCAATATGCTCTTTAACAAACCTCTGAGGCCATCATAAACAGCTGTTTTTTTAAATTATTATTTATTAGTAATTAAAAAGTTTAAAATTATATTGAATTATGTGTTAGAAAGTATATGATTGATAGTTTATAGAAATTAGGAGTTTTTTTGTGAAATAAGCCGTTGTTCCTTCTATATTACATCTAATATAGAAGTTAGAAACGTTTATATTGTATGTATGTTTTTGTATGGATGTGTTTCTGCTTCTGGACACCTGAATTTCACCTACAGGGGATCAATAAGGTATCTAACTATCTATATCTAAACAACTTCATGTGAAACAAGCCCTTCTGATTAATACTTTGTTATACTCGTAGAGACAGTAAAGAGAATGATTGTACAAGCAGAACGAAATTGGCAAGATTACTACTTTAAAGTAGTAATTATCATTTGTTTGAGAGTTACTCAAGCAAGTGTGAGAAAAGACCACAGTTTTGATTTTGTGATTTCAGAATATACTGCACAAAATAGATTTTTTTAAAGATTCATGTAGTGTATTTATATTGAACATAATGTTGTTCGGGTCAGCCCTTGTGGCCAAACTATAGCCACCACAGATGGTCCACTATCACTTAAAAATGCACCCCCAGGGTTTTACTGCTCTGTTGTGCAGAAGACTGTCACTACACTGGGGCATGTGGTTTAGATATGGGAACAGCATCCTCAGGCAGCTCTCATGGTCAGGCACAAAACATGTCTCCACCCCACACTTTAGAACAACTGCTTATTCCCCTTTTATGACGGTAGGCAACCACACATTCACAATAAATCTACCTGTTTTTACCCTGAAGTAAAGAAGACCCATGTAAACAGAGATAATGGGTTAGGACAGTCATTTATCTATACAGCAATGTGTTAAACTGATATTTTTTTGTGGCAATTAAAAGAGCACTATCCTCATATATGAGATGTTCTGGTTTACTTTTTTAGGACAATGCAGGAGAAACAAACTTCTCTTGTCATTTCATCTTAATAAGGCTTCAGTCTCTGTTCTTATTGTCACTCGACTGGCTGTCCTGTCAGACAAGTTGCTAGTCGAGATTTACTGTCTTTGACTTGTGAGAGAACACCTGCTGGTTCCTCTCAATCAGCCAGCCCCACTGCCTCTGAAGTTGCTATAAATGGGGAAAGGGACACATCCACAAATCAACATTCACTAATTTGTTTATTACCCAGCTTTTGGCTCAATCTCCTCGACTCCCACCCAAGCTATTATGGCTGCCTTCACTTACCTCCTCTCACTTTATTGATCCTCCTATAAACTAAAAGAGGCTGTTAGATCTGAAGACTGTGTTTGTTGGGTACATGAAGGCATTTTGTGTGTGGGCGGGGTAATTGCCTGGGGTAGGGTGATTCTATGAGAAAAAGTGAGATCACTCTTGTTTTTATTATATAGAATCCAAAGAGGCAGTATTGGTGTTGCAATAGAGCAAGTGAAGGGTTGGGTGCACAGCTGCAAGTGTCTTTTGGTATAGTCTCCATGCTCAAATTCCACTGATATGACTTTAATCGGGGCTAATCTGCTTATCGCTCCCCTTGGGCAATGATCAGCCTTAAGTGCTTAACAAAATGAAGGGGCACACAAGATGCATCACTTAACTACAGTTACTGTGATATAAGTTCATGCTTGATCTGAATAATGAAAACAGTCCACTCCCATGTCTGTTAAGTATTTATACACAAGATGATTAAAATATATCATGCTTTCCTTCTGCTAAACCAGATGATTATTTCATTATTTTTTTTATTCAAATATTTATTTAAACCCATTTATTTATTTATTCCTTCTTCTGCAGAGTTCCTTGCACCGCAGTAAGGATTTTTTTAAAATATTAAATTGGACAATTTAAATAAAACTCTTATGTTCTTTCTTTGGTAGCAAGCGACGCATTTTGGTCTTTATCAGGGCATAAATCATTTGACCTTAGTGATTATTGTTGAAAAATGTGTTTACATTTAACTTTTTTTTTTTTTCATGAATTGCAAGTACGTACAAAGGCATTGAGGAAGGATTAAGGTCATACTGACAATTTCTGAGCACTCAAGGCTTAAAAAACGTACTCAAACCCAGATACATCAAAATTGCTAAGTGCTTCATGTGACCCTAGTCTGAGAAATGCGCCATTTTGAATAAAGAACTCAATTGAAACACAACCTTGATTTAATTGTGTGATATTAATTTTTTCCCCATAATATGCCCTCTCAGAGAAACAACATTATGCTACTGATTTTTAGAGAGCATTTTACCAAAAGCACAAAATGTGTTACAAGAAAAATGTGACCTTGACTCTCGTTTCACTGCAGTGGTCCCTTCAACGTCACATAATAGTGCTGATGCTTGAAAAGGAACCACGTAACAAGCTCGGGCCGTGTCTCCTTGACGAGTTCTACAGTTTTTACTGGTTATAGTATTGTATTATTTATAAGTTGAGTATACAGTAGTTTGAGTATTTACACGGGGGCGGCACGGTGGCTGAGTGGATAACACTCTCGCCTCTCAGCAAGAAGGTCGGACCAGGGCCTTTCTGAGTGGAGTTTGCATGTTCTCCCTGTGTCTGCGTAGGTTTCCTCCGGGTACTCCGGTTTCCCCTACCACTAAAAATATGTCCAATAGTTCTGGCATGCGCCTCCTGTACTGGCGACCCCGCTCCCATCTCTGTGTGGAGTGAGAGACAAATGCCCAAAATTAACAATTGTAAACCGCTTTGAGACTCAGATCTGCAGTGAAAAGGCAGTATATAAATAAAGATTACTTACTTACTTACTTACAGTTCAGATCATTTCAGGGTGGCGACCTCTTTCATTCATCCTGCTGCTTCTTTGAAATTCTCTCTAAAATCTGCTTGTTTTTATTTTATTTTTCTCCTTTTTACACTAAAAGGAGATAAACTATTCCACAGTTTGTTGCTGCCCCCAAACTGTGGAATAGTCTACCTCTGTTCATTAGAGCAGCTCCAATTCTTTGGAAGTTTTTAAGTCTAGTTTAAAGACACATTTTTACGCCTTGGCTTTTAACACCAATTGAATTTTACCATTTTACTTTTACATGTATGTGTATGTATATCATGCTGTTTTCTTTTTTTCCTTTGTTTTTATCTTTCGTGCCTGTGAAGCATTCTGGGCAGCTGGTGTTGTTGTAAATGTGCTATACAGATAAAATTGACATTGACATTGATAAAAGTAAAAGACAACAAAATGAATGCTATGTATTTGTGCAAATCTCTATTCATTCTACATTTGGGTCACACCATAAATACACATGCATTAGTTTAACTGCTTAACCTTGAAAGTGGTGGGAAAACTCCTTCTGAGCATGCCAGGTATGCACATAAAAATGGCACTATGTAAGTTAAATAATGTCATTCATAGAATAATTTATTAAAGGCAACATAGTGAGTTGGTGGAGTTTGTTACCACCACATTTTAAATCTCATGTTATTTACTTCACAGGGGAGGCATACAAAACAAACACACATCAGGCAACACACAATAGGACATTTACATACATACAGGGATTGATAAAGGGACTGAATAGCCATATGTACAAATAATCTAGTGAATGGTTATTGTCAAAGTACACAAATATTACTAAACCATAATGAAAAATACCTATTTAAGATATTTTTAAATAAATCTAAACTACTACTGAGATAAACTGTTGTATATGAAGGCACAGTAGTGGTGTGTGCTTTCTCTATCTGATTCATCCTAATGTGTGTGTGACACTTTGTGATGAGGTGAATGTGATTCCAGATGAGTTCACAAGCTGTGTCAGGACACTTGTCACCTGTGCCACCTTGCGATTATAGATTATCAGATTAATGCCGATGCTTCACGTGGACTCTCCCTCCATTTTATTTGATTCAGAGATCACCGAGGTCGCAGTCTGAGGTGGAAGTGCTCTGACCCCCACCGTTTTTGATTCATTTACACAGTCTAAAACTGGATTGTGTCCACTGGCTGCAGTTTTCTCTTGCTTCATATTTTCTATCTTGTACTTCAGCAGGCTCCTGATGCTTTTGTTGTCGGCCCAGCATGTTTCGTGCCAATCTTTTTGTGACTCCCACTGACCTTTGATTCGGCTCATGCATGTCGCTCCTCTGTGGACAAGCCCTTATGGAAGTCCTCCTCGTGTTGGATGTGATCAATAAGGTTAGGGGACCTGCACACAAACATGACCACGGACTAAAGCAGAAGGATTAAGTCACCCCTGTCTGTGCTGGGGGCGTGTTGGTGCATCTTGTGTGCTGTGTGAATGACCCTGTCCTTGCCTGTACTACGTGTTTGTATGGATGCTTGCGTCTCGGGATCCAAGTTCCCATGACTTGTAAATAAATGCTGGTGTAATCTTGGGTGGACAGGCTAAGCTCAGATGGCATGACCTTTGGCTGTAAAGGTCCTCATGGGTCACACACAAACAGACAAGCAACCAAACACATTGCCATTTAACCTGGGACACGCAGAAGGGTGAGCGAGTGACCAGCGAGAGGCAGGGATTAGCAAAGATAGGCTGCTCTAACAGCTGGTTGGCCTTTTACACATTGCTATTATCTGCACAGCATGGTATTAATAGTTTGTTGGAGTTCTTTTTCAAAATATTTAGTATTTCTGAACATGAAAAAGTGTTGTGTGGAAAAAATCTGATGTCATACTAGCCTTGCTAAATAAACTTCAATAGAAATACAAAGGTCATAGAACAACCCAAAGATCCAGATGGTCACTGGGTGATAATGTATATGAATGTCTTTCATAGAGTCAAGATGATATGAATGAATGAATAATTTTTTTATTTCAAGCAAGCAAGCAAGCATGAGCATGACACAATGTCACAATAACGAAACTTAAATTGATATGATACAGGGCATGAAAACAGTACAAAAGTAAAACAGTAATAATCACAATACATTGATAAAAGATTAGTGCTGATAAAGTATTTCCCTTGTGGAACTTTCAGTTACAGTTTTAACCCGGATTAGAACATGTCAGATTAAAAATAATAATATATCGGATTTATATAATACGCTGACTCCCCATGTTTAGTCCTGACTCTGGCCATCAGCAGGAGGCCAGTCCCTGTGCTCCTCAGAGTTGGTTCATATGGCACTAACAAATCTCAGAGGTCCTTTTGGTGCGCGGCCATGGCGAGACTTTTACACAAGCAGAGCTGCTCTTAAAGCCAGTGCAGAGACCTGAGAACTGGACTAATATGATCGTACTTCCTGGTTCAAGTCAGGACGAGAGCTCCAGCATTTTGAGCCCAGTGAGTCACTGTAGTCTAATTGTTGTTTCTTGTGACAATATAAAATACAATATTGAAATGTTTGAATCTAACCAACTGGAGATAAATGCATGGATAAGAATTTCCAAGTCTGTTAATGTTACTGATTTGATGTGGCTGTTAACTTTTCATTCCGAGTTCATTATTACTAAGGGAGTGAGACTGAAGGCAGCATTCTGTGTGGCAAGACAATACATTTTTCTGAGTTTTGCTGGAAAAGTTGAAAGTTGTTTTGCATCCACTCACTGATCTGTTGGATGAATTAGTCCACTGGTCCATGTTCTCTATAGTCAGTGAGACATAGATATCTGTCATCTGATAATAGTAATAGGACCTGACCTTATGGCAACACATAAACTTATGTGGAAAAAATTAAATAATGTTTAAAACAGATATTAAATTAAATAAATATGTATGCCACCAAAAGTGTAAAAGTTGTGTTTGCTACTTTGTTTTTTTATTATATGCATCAGTTTTGCCGGAGCTCAGGATTCATACTCTAAAAACCCACACTGGGAGGGAAAATGTTCAGATCAGAGGGCACTTCTCAACCTCATGAGTGTTGTACAGATTGTTGTTGTTTAGTGCAGGAGGTATCATGTGGTATCATTTGCATTTACCAACAGATAAAGCACCCAGAAACACATTTGCTGACAAACATTCTATCCCTATCTTTCCTCAACACACATGGCGATACATACAAGCATTTCCCCTTTCCCCTGCCCTCTGTAACCCAACATCCACACTCCCAACTCCCACCTCTCTTGTCACCTCCCATCTCCCAGACCAAGGTCAGCTGTCCAGGCCCGCGGCTCTTGATGTAGAGGCTTTGACCCAACATGGCCACCTCTGTCTCTCCAGAGAGATTAACACAAGGCAGGGACAGAGGCAACTGAGCGCCGCATGGCTCTGCGTTATCCCGGCCGCTCTTCCTCTGTGCACTCTCACTTCTCATTCTGCCTTCGATAACTCCCAACGTCTCAGTCTGGGGACCAGGAAGAGCTGCAAATTGAATATGTCTGGCAGTCAGATCTGTGAAGACTCATGGGTGATGTTAGCGAGAGAAGCCACTGCTTGTGTCCGCGTATATTGTCACTCAAGCAATATTCATCATTCAGCAATACAGGGAGATAAGTGGATATTTTTTTGTAATTGTGTTCTGTTTGGCATATTTGAAGCTTTGCTAGACATTGGCTAATTTAGCATCAATTTAATTTAGTTAATATTGAACATGTAATTCCCATACAGCATAAACAAGAACAAACTCCATTCATCCGTCTTCTAAAGTTTGTCTAGGCTTCCTTAAAGTATAAAAACTCTGATATTATACAATAGTGAAACTAGTTTTGAAACTACTAATTTTATCAAGTAAAGAATTCAATACATACGTTTGACATCTACTGAACACTTAATGATAGATAATAAACAAATTAGAAAAAAAAATATTAAAAAGTATTATTTGAGTTTGAAATGTATTATTATGGCACTAGTTATATCCAACACATGAGGATCTAGGGAGAAGATATACAACAAATTAAAAAATAAAAATACAACCAAGCCAAAAGTATTGATAAAAATTGGTCCAAAACATTTAAATTGCTGATGCGTCACGTTACGTCAGCTGAAAGGCAGAGATTGTATATCTTTTTGGTTCACCACCTTCATTTCCAATGAATGAGGTGCAAGGGTTGTGGTTGTGGCAAGCAAAAGGTTAAACAAAGTGCTGCAACTGTCAGGCTGAGTGAAACCAACTGGTGCAGGGCTATCAGAAGATAATCAAGGCTAATAGGTACATAATGGCTAACAGTGGGACTGCACTGATGCATCATGGGGGATGGATCGCAGACAGCGTGACCTCGCATTCCCAGCGCTCGTCTCACTGCTCCAGAGACATGAGGCAGACACAGTTTCACCACATCTTAATATTACTCATATCACCAGCCTGCACATAGCTATCATTAATGGTTTGATTGTTTATTTGAAGTTGGAAGGAATAATAAAGCAACTATGAAGTAGTGCACCATGGGAATTATGTCACAGTTTTTATTCAGCAGGCAATGATGGTGACCTCTTTAGTGGCTGGGGCATATGGTTTCACTTTTTGTCTAAACCAACAAACAGAATGCTTGTTTAGAGTGTGTTTTGATGATTTATATATCTATGAAGTAAAGATGCCGAGGGTAAAACCATGAGCCAGTGGAAAGGTCAGAAAGGAGAACTTACATACTACAAATTTCAAGTTTAAATGATGTACTATATTTTTGTACATACTGTATCTGTTTTTAACAAAGACAGTAAAGGAATCTCACCACACTGGTTGCACATTTACAGATGAATACATTGTGTGAAAACAACCGGGCATAGTTCTGACACTTTGACCCAGGCAGCTCACAGTTAACATGCTCTTAAATGATGCAATTGAGCAGAAAGGGTCAGAGGATCATGTGTTGATGAATGTACACATGCCCCGTTCTCGGTACGCTTTGATGGTACCCGCCAACACTTCCAGACTGACCGCACTCTGGGCTGGACTCCACTCCAATGATGCATTCTTCACAAACAAAACCAGCTTTTGTGAAAGCCCACTACACGTCAGAACCATCCTCTCCAGAGGCTAGGCCAATGGGAGAGAAAATATGGGGGAGAAATGAGGTTAAGTTGGGGGGGAGGTATAAATGGCTGAGGCAGAAGTCTGTGTAATTGCAGCACAAAGGAGATGGTGTTTGATCTCTGAGGTGTCCAAGATTTTTTTTGCAGGGGTGAATGTGCCAGGCTTAGGAATGTTGTAGCTCTGAAAGTTTATCAAGAGTTCACTAAGTGTGAACTGAGGAGATAGAGTGCGAGAGCATTCAGAGTTTAGTCTGCCTAGTCGCCTGTTCATTATTGGCTAATTACCCCTTTAAAGTCTTTGAGTAGCTACACACACTGTCCACATGTGTTGAATGTGTTACATCAGAGAGAAAGGCCAGTCTGAACTATGGTGCAGTGTAGCCGCAGCCTCCTGATAGCTGGGCTAAACTGCTGGAGAGCAAAGAGTGCCCGCATAACGCACAAGGCTCTTTGAACTCTGTCTGTACTCGCTGCTGCAGAGCTTGAACTGGGTTAATCGCTATTAATATTTAACATGCTGCCAAAGTTCCAGCCCAGAAACTATATCAAAGCCAAGAGCTCCAGCCAACAGAGCCCATGCAGTCCTGTGTGCCATAAACACTGAAACTGCCAACTGCACACTGGTCAATATTTCATTAATTTGATATAAATGAGGAAATATTCTTGAAACATTCTTAGCAATAAATGATTCCTTAAATGCGATGTTTATATTGTGTTTGATTCTGTGGCCTTTTTGATATTTTAAAGTATTTGAAGAATTATTAGGTATATCTTGCCATTTACAGCTAGTTAAGAAACATAGCTACTACTTATTTTGTATATTTTGTGTGCTCCCTATGTGCTCTTACTACTGCCCTGCCTGTGCACTGCAACATTGAAATTTCCCCACTGTGTGACGAAAAAACTATCTTGTTTCTTAACTTATCTTATTTATATAAGTGTGAGAATAGACATGGTTATGAAACAACTAAAGGTCACCAATGGTCGGCCGCTCTGTCTGCCTCTCCTGACAGCTCACAAACTGGATTATTTCATCAGAGTTCAAGCTGCTATTGCCTCTGCCACTGCGGTCTTTTTCAGTCTGCCCTCCTCTTTACAGCTATTTCTCGGTCTCTCCATCGGCTCTCTTCCCAAGTCTTTCTCTCAGTGCTCCCAGCACCGGGACCTCAAACAGCATGGTTAAATACCTAGGCCAATGTGTCGCTCTTCAAAGAGACTCAGGTAGTAGATATGTTGGCAATGGGCCAGATCAAAATGAAGAGTTATGGTAGAGCATTGTGGCTGCACTTCATGTGGACCTCAGACCACTGTATTAAGGGGCCCCACCTGGGTCCAAATCTTCCCGCAAGGAAACTGAAATATGGCTCTTAGTCCCACTTCGCCCCCCTGAAAAACCCACTAATACCACGCTGGGACCCTTTTTATTTCACTACATAAATCAGAGAGCAGGATGAGGAAGTTCATTTGCCGTGGAAGAGTCTATATTAGTTTAGCCACTGCTGTAAAGATTCCACTCACACTGTATATTTTCCCGTGCTGTTGAGCAAAGGGACAAGAGCATATTTTAAATACTGTTGGCTTTGATTATTAAAGGGTTAGATAATTAATGGGTAGCCTTTTAAGTCTTTTAAGAGAAAATATAGAAATCAAGAGCAAAGGTTCAGGACCAGAGCTGGAAACAATTTGTATAGCTACCAAATTAAAGTTATTCAGCACCAAGGGTAATTTAATTGCCATTCTTTAAATGTTTGAATGACTTTGACCTCTGGAGTACTCCGGGTCATGCAGGTGTATTTACTTACGCTAATTCTGAATCAGTAACATGAAACAACTTTTCAAATGGAAAAGGCCTCCTTCTCATGTATCTGATTACTTGGTACACGTTCTTTGTGTTTAGAAATTAAATTAATATCCATCCACCGTGTCATTAGCCCTGTTTTCTCAAAACTCAAAAATCCCTCCTAGGTCTTCTATGTCCCCTTGAGTAAACATATCAACATTACGGCTGACAACCAAGATCCCAAAAAAATCCCAAATCTAGACAATGAAAAGCAAAGAGAGAGACATAAACAACATATGAAAAAAGTTGACAGGCCTTCCCAGGATGCACCTCACCCAGCATTGCTCATGAATGGAAACAGGTGTGTGTGATTGTGCGGTGGGTCTTGAAGAATCGGGTCTATGTGGCATGTCTACTGCCTGGGTGATTTGGGTCAATGGAGCACATCTGGTACTAGTCACAACAGAGTGCACACGTCCAGGGCCCTCAGACACCCCACCAGGCGAGCAGGGAGAGAAGGAGCATGGGCGCGGAAACATCTGGCTTCTCTCTCACTCACACACAAAGGCTTTGGGGATTTGGTGCCTTTTTCGGGCTAGCGTGGATTATTCCAGGTGCATCTGGAGGCAAAAAGAGAACAGGAGTTGTGTTTGCCTTTGTTTGAGTGACAGCTTTTGAACCTTGTGCTGGTTGACTTTTGCTAATGCCATCATAGCACATGCAAGTGTCCATGTTTTGCTGAAAATAAATGTATTCTAAATTTATAGTTGGATTCAGGATTTTAGTTGCCATGCATGTAGAATGGGTCAAGAGTGGTCTGGCCTGGGGAAAGCCAATATAATCCATAATATATCTATCTCATTGCAGTGGATTTAAAGGCAATGTCAGTCAATTTTCAGAGAAAGCATTTAAAAATACAAACACCAATTAGACCCACCTCCTCACCTTTCTGCTTCCCCATTGGATGAAAATCCTTGATTGACAGGAGAGTTCCCTATTCAGTGATCTAACCATTCTTCTCCAGCCAATATCAGTGGTGATATGTCAAGGGGAGATATACATTGAACTAATTTTAGATTTACAGCCCAGAGCAAGGTGGTCAAAAATATGCATACTTAAAAAAATTAAAATAAAATGATTCTGATCTCACTGGGTAGTGAATAATGTACAGACTAATCAAACGCAAATATTTCTTGATACATTTCAGAGATGTTACATAGCGCCCCTTTAAATGTAAAATGAAAATACCCAATAGAAAGATCTCTTTCAGTCTCACTCTTTCTCTTCCACTTACTTCACCCTCTTCCTCCCCACGGGCCCGAGGCAAAAACAATAAACATGATTGGCTTTGTGTGAAAAAAGCAGCCAGTCCACAGTGAGGACAGCCATGACAAAGGCCAAGTGAAATTGATTCAGAGTGTATCAGTCTGTATGGGTATGTTTGTCTCTGTGTATGCTTTCTGGATATGTGCTAGCTTCTGATCTAAGAGTTTTTATTTTTTGGGGGGAAGCAAGCCTCATGACAAATATGGGAAGTGATGGCTTGTAGAGCAGGATTTTACGCT